ATTTAGGGTTTTCCAATATTGGGGGAGTCAGGGCCCCCCGACCCCCCAGGATTTACGCCCTTGATCCCTATTGATCACGATAGCGATATTGATATTGATGCTGTGTAGCCAGGAATAACTGAAGTAGAGAGCCATGTCAGAGGTCTGATTATTTATGGTATCAAAAAAAGACTCGTGTATTTATGCGTATAATATAATTTGTGTTTTTGTGTAATATYGKTTATCGGCTATAACAGCAATAATTATATCGGATATTGGTATCAGCTGAAATTTTCATATCTGTGCATCCCGTACATGTCCATGTTTTCTCACAGTCAACTTTGTGCTTCCATTCCCAGGTAGTTACTTTGCACGGGATGCCTCTTATTCCCACGCTTACACCGGAAACACAAATGTCAGATCCATGTTCATTGCCCGGGTCCTGGTGGGGAGCTACACCAAAGGCGCCCCCAGCTACCTCAAGCCTCCTTTGAAAGATGGAAGAAACAAAATCTTTTACGACAGCTGCGTGGACAGTGTCATAGATCCTTCTATATTTGTTGTGTTTGAGAAGCACCAGATCTACCCCGAGTACCTGATTCAGTACATGACCTCAGATCCAGTAGGTAATTTTGTCAGTCCTGCACAACCAACCAATCAGTGTGTCATAGCTTAATGACAAAAGTAAAGAAGGTGGGTGTTAACCTTTGAAGGTGCTTAAGAAAGCCTGGGTGTTTCCCTAAAGTTATTYGTTTCACAATTTGTGWTTAAAAGGAAAAGAAAACCTGACARTAGTAACTAGAGTGGTTTGAATGCTTGTTTAGCATCATCATTTTTTCCCTTTGATTTAATAAGTTGAAAACTCTCTTGAAAACCATTAAAAACACACCCATTGACATGGTCTTTAGAAACTTTTGTCCATGTCTAATCCCCAAATAAGCAAGTCTTCATTGGCATTATTTACTGAGAGTATTCCTTGGGATTTCACTCTCAGTTCTTTGTATACCATGAAATACCCAACCAGTACAACCAGCACAAAGCTGGACTGCTGGGTCATTGAGCTTGGTAACCAGTACGAATGTTACCATAGTACAACACAGAACACCAGATATTCTGTCTTGACTCCACAATCTGTCCTGTTTGAAGTATTTAATGGCATTTGAGGAGTAAAGGTACAACAAAGGAGTTATCAAGAGTCTATTGTGCAAAAAAGAAACTTGTTTAAAGTCAAGATACAAATATTTTATCGTCATCCAATCAAATCAATAAAATATCGTATCGTGATAAAATTGGTGATTTACACCCCTATTTGAAAAAAAGGACCAAGTCAGTGTGTGGAATTTTATTAATCCTTGTTATGCCTGTGAGCCACCAAGGAAGGTATAGTGACGTCACCACCATAGTTACCATACAGTGTCACTCCATTCTGATTTATTTTGTGGAAAGGGCTTAGGTCAACCTACAGAAAATAAAAGTATGTACATATGTGACCTGCCCTTTACCATCAGCTACAGGACAGCAAATAGCACTTTAATTTAAAATAAGCCAAAATAAATATCAAACTATGCAGTTCCTGTACCTGATTATTGTTCAGATCATAGGGTCTACAGCAGTGTTTCCCAAAGTTGGGGTCGGGACCCAAAGTGGGGTCCCAAAACATCAAGGTGGGGTCCTGAAAAGATTTTTGAAATTAATTAAATTTTTGCCTTAATTGTTATAAAGAGTGAGGTTAGTATATTTAAAATGGATAAATGTAGTATAAAATATTGTTACTATGCCC